CTGCGGTGGCCGGGAGTGGCCACTGCACTCCAGTCTGGGCAACAGAGTGAGACTCCAAATGAACCCCCCCCCCCAAAAAAAACCAGCCTGAGCAATATAGTAGGACCCCTCCCTCTCTATGTTAAAAAATGTAAAAGATAGGCGGGCTCAGTGGCTCAGCCTGTAATCCCACGCCTTTGGGAGGCTGAGGTGAGTGGATTGCCTGAGCCTGCGGGTTCGAGACCCGCCTGGGCAGGCGAGACCTCATCTCTACAATAAATCAAAAAATCAGCCGGGCGTGGTAGTGCGCGCCTGTAGTTCTGGCTACTCGGAAGGCTGAGGCGGAAGGATTGCCGGAGCACAGCGGGTCGAGGCTGCGGTGGCGGGGAGCAGTCACTGCTCTCCAGTCTGGGCGACAGAGTGAGACTCCGACTCAAAAAAAAAAAAAAAAAATGTAAAAAATAAAGAACTTGCAATTATTGAACATCAGTCCCACCCCTCACTCAGCTCGCCTTGAGGCAGGATAGGTACAGCAGGCTAGACACAGATAAATTTTCTAGATTTTAGGAAGCGTTTAGACATTTTAATTTTTATTTATTTATTTTTTGAGTTGGAGTCTCACTCCGTCGCCCAGGCTGAAAACATAATTCATGGTTTAACATAATAATCTCTAAAAATCTTTCAGGTTCCCCGTCCAAAGGCAAAAGGCCGAATATCATCCCTTAACTGACCAAAGTCATAAAAATGATAATAAGATCATTTTTTAGCTCAGGAACTCGTAAATTAAAAACGTCTGGCAGGTCTCCTGCAAAAGACAACCCTTCCCCTCCTCTCCTCCCATAAGGAGCCCAGAGATGTCACCCTCCAGAGTGGCGGTTATCTGGGCTCCAGCCTCTTTAGCGCATCAATCATCGTGAAGGTATAACAGGGCTATTGCAAAGAACAAAAGGTGCGGTTTTCTCCGCCGGTGCCAGCTCTGGCATGTCCTCCTTTCTTTGCTTCCTTCGCTCTCTAATAAACTTAGTTCAAAAACTTTGCGGGCTGCTCTAAAGTTCATTTCAGAAAGGAGCCAAGACATCCGTGGGTTTTGTGCCGCGCCCCCCCCCCCCGGCATCAGTCTGAGCGAACCGGGCGGCCGCGAAGAGGCGTCCTGCCCATCTTGGGCTCGAGGTGTGCACCCCCCGACCCCCGCGCGTGGCCCCAACTCTAGGCGCACGTAGAGTGCGAAGTCCCGCACTTGGGGCTCAGAAGCTGCCTTCCGGCTTCGTTGTTCTGTTTTGCAACGTGCGGACGAGAGGGATGGCGGTTGCAGCCCGGGTCTAATTCCGGGCAGCCTCCTCTCCTCGGGCCTCCAGGCGCCTCGACTGGAAACGAGGCGGCTCGAAGCCCGCCAAGCGAAAGCCGGGAGGCCTTCGGGCCCAGGCCCCCGGGGTCCGCCGGGCCGGCGGCGG